AATGCGCACAAATTGCCATATTTGCCAAAAAAATGAAGCCATGAAAAACAGATGCCACAAAGGGGAATGTTGTTTTTTTCTGTTGCTCGCTGACATATGACGTTTTGGAAAGTTTTGTCATATTTACCTTCACAGGTTTCATCAATTGGAATACGTGTTGGAATCTATTTTCGCCATTTAACATAATGAGTGCGACAAAAACAGGTATCCCCTCCGCAGCAGCGGCACTAGGCTTCACGTTCGTCAATATGTGTGAGCATTCCAGTTTTTGGTTATAGTTCATTGAGTTCGGTTAATCCTCCGCGAGCTGAAAAATAACACTGTTGGCAAAACGCCATGTGATCTTCAATTTGAAGTTTCAAAACTGATCACGTGGCGTGGGTCTGACATCTTGTTGGTTGCTGAGGATTAACCGAACTCCACTATGGCCCAGTTCGTTTTTGTCATCTTTTTCGTCGATTTGCTCCGAGATGACAGGCACGTGACTGTATAAGACAGTTTCCGTTTACAAATCACGTGCCTGTCAAAATTTCGGAGCAAATCGACGAAATAGATGACAAAAACGAACTCGGCCTACAATAGATGCCGAAGGATCGTTCGATAGAATTTGACATGGTGGATAGATTCACAAGATAATGGGAAAAAAGTAACGTTCTAGCAGTTTTCAAAAGAATTTGTATAACAATTGGGTTTTCGACAAAATCCCAGATACCCTAACCTATTAGACTGTGAGATAGGGGCTGGTAAGTGGAGTAATTTTTTTTTGTCTGGCATTTTGAGGGCTGAATGTGGCTACTAAGCTGATGAGAATATGACTGATTTTAATGCCTGCCTCCTGTTCGAAAATTTGCAGAAGAAAAAAATTGATTTACATGAAGAATTTTTTTTTAAATGAAATCAATTTTTTGGCTTCTAAATAAAAGATTGACATTGATTAATAATTCACCCATAAAAAATACCAGATGCTTTTCAATAGTTGAAAAAGTGGGGATGAGTGTCAACTTCCAAGAGAAAATAAAAGAACCTTCCGCGTTTACTTTCTGTCTGGCAATCGAGAGAATGAAAGGTTTTGTTGTTAAAATAACGCTGAAAAATCGCCAGACGGTAATCACAGTTCGAAGTCGAGTTCACCGGCAAAACATCACTTATATTCTCATCAGCTAACAAACCACATTCATCCCTCGAAATGCCAGACAAAAAAAAAATGACTCCACTAAACAGGCCCTATCTCAGGGTCTATATTATGTATCCACCACGAAGCTGAAGACTGAATAGTTAGGGGTCAAATGGGGATTCACAGTCTTGCCGTTCAATTTGAGTTTGCGCAAGCAAGTTGATGGACATGACGGAACGACTATCCCGGCCTTATTAGAGTCAGTCTATTGGGCTTTTGTAAAGAGTTCAATTGTTTATTATGCAAATTCTTTTGAAATTTGCCGCTAGGGGAATTTGTGACCGGCGCCTATTGCAGACAGTTTCACTTTGTTTGTGGACAATTTGTTGCGAGAAAGACGATCCACAGAGGTCTTACAGACAGTTATCTGCGGAGATCTGTCATCAATTAAGCAATGGTTCGATGCAAATAAACTGGCCCTCAAAACCAACAAAACCAAGTTTATGACTATTAATAAAAATTTAACTATCTTCCTTAAAATAAGTACAGTCATGACTCATGAGCACAAAAAGTGGGATACCTGACTGACAGGTCTTGTCATTTTTCGCTATTTTGCGTAAAGCCTAGTACTCATAATAGCAAAATTCGCTCTTTTTTGACATTGCTTCGACAATTTGACGTTTTATGCGTGAATCATGTGTGTCATGCTCTCTTTGAGTCCCACCTAGATATGGGCTTGTGTTCTGGGGATATGCAACAATTACGCGACTTAACTCTGTTTTCATTTAAAAAAAGAGCAGTCCGAATAATTTCAAATGCTGATCGGCCAGCTTACTGCAAACCACGGTTTCAAAGGTTGCAGTTTACCCTAGTTTCAGATGGAAGTTACTAGGAAGACAGTTTTTCATTTAGGTAGAGCTTGATAAAATGCAATATCCCTTAATATTAGATAACTCCCAATTGGGCAATTTAAGAAAAGAATAAGGGAAGTTTTGATTTCTTCTGCTAATTATTCTTTCTATATTTACAGAATCCAGTGCCAAAGCTATTTACTCTGCGATGATTACCTGGGATGTTTCCTGGTTTCTTCTTCTTTTTTTTTCCAAATTGTACCTGTTTGGCTTGAATATTATTTGTAACTGTAGTGTTATCTGTATTGGGTATGTATACTGATAGTTTTGCTGTATGAGTTTATTTTATTTTATCAACTAAGTACTGACATAAATACAGAGTAGGGGAGAGACACCAACAGTGGCCAGGTCCGGACAGTGGTCATTCCGTTATAATTCGGAAAAAATTTGTCAGTCAAAGGCCCCCACCACTTTACATTGCGCGTTTAGTTGTACGATTCGACCGCCAAAACCTTGAGGCGATTAGTTCCATTTTGTATGAGCTAGAGTGAGAATGTGAAAATTCGGAGCGAAAACATAGATTTTGAGGTAAGTTTTCAGTCCTTTCACACCTTTTGCTGAAATGATTTTCGAAAAATTATTTTTTCAATGAAATCTGTGGTGCTTTGACTCTAATTTATTGATATTTAAATTCCCCAATTGATTTGTTTTTTCGCACAAAATCTAATTTTTTTATTCAATATGTGGTGTTCCTTACGGTGGCCACTACAGCGTTCCGTACAATGGCCACTACTTACCTGGCAATTATAGGGGTGGCCACTGTTAGTTATATATTTTTTCCAGAAAATGGCAGCATCAGAGCATACAAAGCTGGGTCATGGCAAAATACCTGAAAATACAATAAACGCAGCCATACGCCTTGTGCAAGGCAAATACGAAGTTTTGCTCATAAGTTGGCCAAACATTACAACAAAGAATGCCCCAAGCATGGGTTGACAATTAAAGCGCAGGAAAACACTGGTTCACAGGATTTATGGAAAGAAACCCATCTCTGTATCTCTACGTTCTGCTGAAACTACATCTCTAGCAGGAGCTGTAGGATTTAACGGAGTTGTGGTCAGAATTTTTTTAAAACTTAAAACAACTGTATGAAAAGCATAAATATGACCCATCTCAGATTTGGAATGCAGATGAAACAGCATTGACAACTACTGTTCGAGGCAGAAACAAAGTCGTTTTCATAGAAGGGACGAAAACAAGTGGGCCAAGTCACCTCAAATGAAAGAGGAACCTTAGTCACGATGATAGGAGCCATTGATGTTATTGGGAACTCCGTGCCACCGCTTCTAATATTTTCACGGAATTTTTTAAAAGAGCAACTTAGTTTTTCCCTTACGTTTGTTTATTACCTATTTTCTAGATAGTAAAAACAAGTTATATTGACTTTTTGTTTTCAAATTTCTTGGTGGCCACTGTTGAGGTTAATGGTGGCCAGTGTGGAAGTATGACCTCAACAATGGCCAATTTGATAAAAATATTAAAAAACAAAATTCACAAACACAAACTGATAGTTTTTGTAAAAATGATGTATTTTGGTTAAAGATAAATATATATTACTGTGTAAAAAATTATTAAACGTTTTTAAATTGCTTCAGATAAAAAAGTAGTAGGCGCTTCCTTAAAAAGGTGATCACTGTTGGCAGCTCTCCCTTACATAATATACAGGTTGTCCCACGAGAGGCCTTACCAAATATGGCATTGCCGATTTTGTAATTTAATTTTTTAACGAAAAATTCCATAATATACCTTGGGTTACGTTTAAGATTCAAACGTTTCAATTCAAGCAAATGTGATGAAATTGGATGACAATGGTAGAAGCGGCACAAAAACTTACCCAGATCCTCAACCAAGGTTTCAATTATATTGGATGACGCGTTCCGAAGTTATTACCTGTGAAAAATGTCGTGGGACATCCTGTATTTTATTATTACTCTATATTTGGAACCATTTATTTTTCTGTTTAAATTAAAAAAACAACTGGTAACTGTTACATCCTATGTAAGCTTAGTATTTCTGCTGGGCTGTCATTGTATTGGTATTATTGGTCATATTCTTGTAGCATTAGATATGATTTGTGATCAATGCCATTATGCGGCTGCCCTGTAGTTTTTCTGTTCTGATCAATAAATTGAATTTGATGTGATCATCAGTTGCAGCGCCACTACTGTCAGCGGCAGTAAAAGTCCTTTCACCTCTGATCCGTAAAAATCATTTCAACTCCGATTCCAGTTGCATTTAAAAGTACTTTCTCTTCCGTAAGTTGCCAACAGTGACCGCAAATTCACAAAACAAAGTTGAACTAACAGGAAAATATCAGGTTTTTTGACATTTCAAAGAAAGAGTTGTTATTTCCATCTTAGACGGCAACTAAGGTAATTTCCGTTTGTGGCAAGGTTGTGTAACCCTTATACACTTCAAGTCCCCATTTTTTTGTCTCAATCCATCTGTAAGACGGAAAAATTGGTAGGTATTTCTTATCACATTTGAGATAGTATTTTTACCTTAGACGTTGGACAAGGTTTATTTCCGTTTTTGGGGGAGGGTCGAGTGAATCCCGCCTCCACTAGCCCTCCAAACATGGAGTTAATACAGAATCTCCATAATACAAATTATAGACTATAGTTTAAGTTTAAGGCTATGGTCCGAATATAACCAAATGGTAACCAAAGTAACCGAATCGGTCGACAGAAAGTTACTGAAAATTCCGGTTACTTGGGGAACATATTTGACAAAAATTACAGATAAAACCAACAGGACCGACATCCGATGGCCGGTAACTATTTTGACATTTGGTTAACCAGATTTTAGGAAACCTAGGTCCAAAAGTAACCACTTTTCCAGGAATCAGAGTAATTTGATTACTTTCGGACCGCGAAACCACAACCCTGGTTATATTCGGACCAATTAATTTCAAGATATCATTTTCCAGCGCATTCGCCAGTGATTCGAATAATAAACCTTTGTAATAATTTGTACCTTAGTTGAATTAAAACTTCCACTCCCAAGATATTTTTTTTTCATCAAAAACTAGGATCAATATACAAAGCCCCAAGTTCTGCTTTATTTGTAATATTATTGCCAACAATTCTCTTATCTTTTCAACATTCGATAGCGCCACTGCTAGCCTAGAACTTAAAACATATTAAAGAGTGCGAGATGTTACATGAATTTATAGAGATGACCCGGCCCACTTTAGAAGGCTAACATTTTAAATGTAATTGCATTAATTTATGGATCGTAAATTATTACATGGCCAAAGCCTGCAGCTGTTGATCAGTAAAATCTTTTATTACCATCTTTGAAGTATCACATATTAAAAGTGTTGTTTATTAGTGCTTATAAGTGATGACTTATCTTGTCAATCATATATGCGAAGTTCTGAAACAAGAAATCGCTTACCTCTGTAACTACACTTCCCAATTTGAATCCGAGTACTCGGCAAATTTCGCCCAAATTAGATAAGCTGGATGCTCTCACTAGATGGTCCTCATCTTTGGTACCAGCCAAGAACGCATTGAGCAACACAGCTTTGTACTTTGGTGCCATATCACCTTAAAAGTTAAATATATTTTTGTTAACAAGAGAAAAAAAAATATGTAAAATAATATCCAATTAGCTTGTAATTATTCAATATATTATTATCCCTTGTTGTGCCTAATTCCATGAATATCTATTTCACCTAATCCATAATAAGAAAGAAAGACACTCGAACTTGAAAGAAAGTTACCTACCTGACCTGGCAAAAAAGACAGGAGAACAGATCGAGTTTGTTGAGAAAGTGTGTTGAAAGGTTCTCTGTGTCCCTGTGACTAGGCGTTTGGAATATTGAAGATAAATCGAGGTATGAGAGATAATAGAGTTGTACTGTAATAATGTAGTATTGATTTGATATTGTGCACATTTAATGTTGATTTGGTTGAATTATGCAACCTGCCTACAATTGTTGTAGGGGGACGTCCTTTCATTACTGAAGGTAATGTTGTGGCCTTATCTATGATTGTTGTAAGGAATTGGGGATGTTCTTCAAGTTGTGGCTTGCGCTTATGAGGTCCTCGCATGCGGCTTGACTGACACAATTTGTGTTTGAGTGTCTCAGAACTATTGTTACACTTTTACTGTGTTGTTGGAGTGCTAACTATTTAGCGACAGTGTGGGCGTTCGGGGAATCCTCTACTTATTTTAGGTGACACTAGCTAGTCGTTGAAGTTAGAAGAAACATGTAATATCCAGGTTTAACTATATTATATTATTTTCTATATTGAATGATGATTTTGATGGGTTTTCTCTGTGTATTTGGAATTGATGGTTCTAATCTAGAGCAAGGGGCGGTGAAACCCCCCTGGTGAGTACTTTTTTTTAAATTTATTTGATTTGGCAAACAGAGCAGTAATCGTATTAATGTTTGTTTCATGGAATATTGGCAACAAATAATTGGCTTGCAGAATGAATTGCTTTGTGAAGACCCACAGAAAGAGATCACTAAGTTATTTAATAAGCGAATTTTACAAAAAGAGAAAAATTAAAGAAACAGTTAAAATTTTGAACAGTAAACTGCGACAGCAAAAACTATGTAAAGGTCTGTGACTTTATTCAAATATTTTTAATAGGATATAATAGGATTTAAAAGAAAATCTAGGACACAAATAATATCTCAAGAAGCTCTAACATATAAAAACAGTTTTCAATTTAATAGTTAATCGCATTCTTCGCACTTCATTCAATAATAGAGATATTATGCTTTTTATTTGAGCCTAATTTTAGAAATTATTGTGTAACGGTATTACATGATTGGGAACTTTGCCTTGATGTAATACTCTGATAGGAAGCCAATTGTTACGCTATTAGCAAAGATTTTATGACAGATTATTACAGTGTTTATTTTTAAATTACTGTAATCAAAAGAAATGGACACAGATTGGAATTGATTCTGATTTATTAGTCAGGTTATTAAAATTATTTTTCTGAAATTAAGACTCACTAATAATCTAAGTAGGCTATGCAGAAGTTTATTTGCCTGATAAATAATTATATATAAAAAGTTTCAAAATTAATCTATGCACACAGATAGGCAATTATTTAATAAGAAGATACTCAACTCGAAGTACTCTAATCCTATTACATTAATTAGGATTTCTTCAACATCTGAAGCTTATTTTAGCTCATAAGATTAACCGCTCCAAAATGCATTAATTATTTTTTTTGTGTTGCCAGGCTTTATTAGTATTTTTGAAGCAGTGACTTGAAACAAGACTGGTGGTTTTCAGGCTTCATTCATCAAAAAAATAAAAAGTTAATGAAGATTTATATTGTTCAGAAATATGTGATATGTATGCGTTTTATTTTTATCTAATATTTGAACCAAACTATAGGTATCACCAAGAAGTAGTATAAACTTACCCAAACATTTCGTAATTCTAACCAAAACTTCTCCAATCTTAATCCTAACTTCGTGCCCATCATCTCCTGTTCTAGTAAAATCCAAAAATTCTTCACAAAGATTATTTATCACAGTATCAGAAAATATATTGGCCATAGCAGCTAAACCGTCAACAGCATTGAGATAAATAAAGGAATCCTCATTTTTTAAGTTTTGCTGAAAAAATACAAGACTCATATACACACTACTTACTTATTGAAAAAAAAAATTATTCTCACCTGGAAAATAGTCAAAATATACTGCTTTTTCTCCATAATAGAAACATCTCTTCTCTCCACTAATTTTTTCAGTGCCATAAGTCCGTGTCCTCTTACTGGAAGCAAAGGATCGCAAATATCTTCCAAAATAACATCAAGTTCAGACTTTGTTTCTTCAATGTTAATTTTAGTACTTGCTTTATGGTTTTTTTCAATTTTAAACAAAATTTTCTCAATTAAATCCTTGAGCTCGTCATGTTTAGTATACATTTTAATTGTTTCTAAAGGTACAATAAGTACCTTGAACATTTGCAGGCTTATTTTCGAATAATTTGCAATCAAAGCATTCAAAATCATTGTTACAGTAAACATTGCTTGAAACCCGTCACTTTCGAATACTGTAGTTTTATGCATATTAGTTTCGATAGTTCTATCAAAAACATTTTTGATGAAATCTATAATTTCACTTGGAGATTTGATGATTTCTTTTTGAATTTTGGTATCTTCAGCCAAAATTGATAGATTATTAAAAACTGCCAAGCTTCTTTCAAAATATTCATTCATTATTTCAGATTCTAGATTTAAAAGTGCATCACTTGATTTTTTAAAATATTTTTCTCTGTTAACTAAGACTTTTAGTAAATACCTGAAAAATCTTACTAAAAGTTTTGTATCGTTCTCCAATAACTTGAATAAAATTTCTGAATTTACTGTAGCAGAAATTAAAACTGCATGTTTGGATGTTTTAATTTCAATATCTTGTCTCCCAATTTCCAAAACTAAATCTTTTCTAAATGGAAGTATTTGCTGCTTATGACAAATCCCAAACAAAAAACTATCAAAAATTACATTATCTTCTTCACCATTTTCTGTGATATATTTGATTAATATTTCTTTAGCCTCGTTGTGTGTCGACTTAAAAACACTATTTAAAGTTACAGAATAAATTCTGAAAATAACTTCTAATACAGGTTTTAGGATTTCTATTGGTAAACTAGGACTTTCTGCAGTTTTTTCAACAAAAATTCCATGTAATATCCTTATGGATTTTTTGATTGTATTTGTATAGTCTTCCGTTTCAAAATTATAATCTTTAATTGTGAATCTCAATAAATTTATCATAACACTTCTTATAAACATATCTTTACTTATTTCCTGGTTATCTACGTAAAAATTCTTTGCACAAGTAATAAACAACCTCTCAAAAATCAAACTTTCTTCACTAGTTTTATTTATTAGGTTGACCACTTGCTGGCAAATATTTTCCCTAAAATCTAATTGATTTTTACAACTCGAAATTATTCGATAAATTACATCCAAAGCTATCCAAGTTTGTGCTTTATCATTATTTGTTCCATCCAAAATAGCAACTGCAATATTTTCAACGCCGTCCTCAGAAAGCATTATGCTGGTAAGCATTTGAGACACAGCCTTTTGGAACCAAACCGGAGTGTTTTTTTGGTTCAATTTCATAGTTTCTTTGATGTAAATTGCTGGATATATGCCTTTTCTCAACTTTTGTATTAATGATCGAGCTTTTTCTTTTTCTTGTAAAAGTTTTTCATATATATCTGGTGTGAAATTATGGTTTTTGCTCAAAGGACAATGGGCTATTTGATAAAGTCCTGCTAAAATAGCTGCTAAACTCTCTGAAAGTATTATTACCCTCAGAGTTTGGTTTTTTAGAAAATTACTGAAAGCTAGGCAAGTGCATTTTAATATGTTGTATTCATAAAAAATATCATTCGTTTCTGTGAAGGTTTTAGCAATTTTAAATGGTAATTTTGGCTGTAGTTTCGAGTAAATTCCCAATTTAACCAGCAATACTATTGTCATTTTAATTTGTTTAATTTCTTTAATGCTTATCAACTCATCTTTGTTTGGATCTTCAACAATTTCACCAATTTTTTGTAGAATATATATGTTGCAGATCAAATATCTCCATTCTGAAGTTTCCGGGTCGGAAAAGTAGTATTTTGTGGTGGCTTGTAGATGAGCGTTTATGTTTTCAAAAGTGTCGATTTTATCGTAAACTTCTTGGCATTTAGATTCGATGGTTTTGACAAAGGTGGCTGAATTTAGTTCTAAAAAGAAAGGAAACTAATGTATTAAAAATAAACCTCTCATTTATTATAATAACTAAAAGATGTATGTATGTATGTAATAATTTAACAACTAGGTATTCATTTTATTAATCTGTTTCCTATTATATCTCACACAATTACTTATACAAAATATTATCCCATCCGCAATAATTTTCCTAAAACCTTCCTGAAGTCTCGATCAAGTTAGGGATATCATTGCTATTTTACCATGTTAGAAGGAATAAGTAGATTTTGCTAAATATGCAAAAGCATCACATGAGAATGTGAAGGACTACACTGATCTCTCTACTGAACACCTTCCTCTAGCCAAATCTCCAAAAAAGGCTCATCTGTTCTGTTTCAATTCCATTGCATTGTTAGTGTTACTGATTCAAGGTCAGGAATCAATAGTTGGAAATTATTATATGTATTACATCTGTTTTCCAAGTAATTTACTATTGTGACCTCATATGAGAAGAAATTTTGTCCATAAACGTAGCCAAGTTGAAAACCATACTGATGACATTATGGCTCAAGAAAACACGGCGAGGAAACTATCTGAAGGGGAATAGACTCATTGGATTTGAACGATTTTTTTCAATAAATTTACCAAAGCTGATTTTACAGAAAAATTTCCTTATATTTAAATTTCTGCATTTCAGTTCTCAAAGTTTTCTGTCTAAATTTTTGTCTATTGCCAGCTCTTGAATTGTGTATTTCTAAATATCTCTACATAAAGAAAATTCAAGAGCCTGGAACAGAAACAACATCTAGGTACTCAAGTCTACCTATCTACTCCATTTTCCCTTGTCTGCCTTTCAATTCTCAATTGTGTCTATTCCCGGCTCTTCAAGAGCCTCTTAATACATATAAGAGCCAATTTATTCACTTTCTAATAGACTGTCAGGTGATGCAATCTGACGGATAAAAACGCAATATGTAATCCCATTGGTCAACCAATTATCCAGTGACCAACAGGTGTAAATTTATCTTGCAGATAGTTACCAGCAAGTTTATCTCAAGATGAATAAACCAGGTGTAAGATAGAGAACATTGGATGTTAGCGAATACAATTTTAATACAAAAACAGATCTGCGAAAAATTCGTCTGATCCAAATCCATTCAAACATTTAAAATGCTGGAGGATGTTTCCCAGCAAATATTTTTTTCTATTCCAACAAACATCCCAAGCAGCAAAGGTTAGTCGTTATGACGTCGATTTTAAATAGACTCACGTTGATTAACTAAAATTCGACGTCGGAAAGAGGTTGCAAAATATGACTTGTTTGGGACGTCACGCAGTAAATTGACGATGACCATGAACCAACAGGTACAATGTAAAACCCAATATGACCCATTCAGAAAAAATACCCTGTATTAAGACGTCTATGAAGAGTTCAGTGTGGATCGATTGAAAAGTTATATATTTACATAGTATTACCAGGAGATATAATATTGTCTTTGCCGGTACCTACATAAAAAATAATAATTGTTCTGCACTAAGTAGTTTTGGCAATTTTTGCCAGTCGAATAATGATCATTCTTAAAAGGTTTTTCGTCACATTTTCCAAACAATCTGAAATAGGTGTTTTGTGCATTTATTTTCAGCAAGTAAAGATGGAAGGATTTGTTTATCTCAATATTATTATACCTACCTAATTGATGAATCATCACACAAGTAAGAAAAAAAAGGACCAGAGTTATGTAAACAAGCTATTGTACCTTTCTTTTCTTATCTATTTTTATATTCGTCATTCGGCAGTAGACTATTGTGGAGGAATAATCTATTTAAAAAATAATAATTATATACCTATCTGCCCTTCAAATCAGAATTTTGGTAAGCTACTTCTAGGTGAGCATGTCTGGTATTAGACTTTAAGCATTTGGCTGTAGATGTTTTCAATAACTTCCTCTTAACAATAATTAAAGTTGCGTCACTGACATCCAGGCCAACAAATCATGGTTTGATTATTTCTTTTTTGTAATTGGTGTCCTCCGGGGAAGCCGTACGCCATAATAGGTTAGGATGTTAGAGTCCGCGTCAAGACTAAAGAGTACGGTGTCGTCATTTGCGCACAAACCCAATTTTGAAGACTAACCGAACTATCGTATCGATCGGTGCTGCTGCCGAACGCCAAGTACGTGGTTCATTGTCGTACGACCAGCAGGCATATTTATTTGGTTTATTTTGTATCCAAGTTTTGTCTGAAAAGATACCCCGCTGCTGGCTTCAGCTCACGGCCGAGGTCACGGCAGACAGCGAGAGATAGACGAGGGAGAGAGATCCGACCCGCTTCGCGCAGCTTTTTATGTCGTCATCGTAGTCTTTAGTGCTGATTTTACCTCTAAAGGTAAGTGTAGAAGTGGGGCGCTACCGACTACCGGCGAGAAATGGTTGAATTGTGATTTGCTGTTGGGTGTCAGCTGCACAACGTGGTTTCAAGTGAATTTGGGGCTTTAATAAAATAGCTGAATGCTATATAAACACATTTGGTTTCTCCGATGTGCATTTGACACTTTTATCATTGATTTTTTTTGACTTGGCTTTCCAAAAGTGCGTTGAAAAAGAAGAAAGTATGAATGAGTTCTGTGTGAGAGATGAATGATCCAGGAAAATGGGCTCTTTCACTAAAATTTAAATACGTAATTTAGGTATAAAATCCCAAAGGAGGGACTATTTTAGGCACATATACCAAAAAAAAATGTTCTACAAGGTTAAATAAGTTTTTTACAGGCATTTTAAACTACCAAAATTTGAATTATTTAAAAACGCGCCGATTTGCTGACGTCGCATAAATATTTTTCATTTCGCTTGTTGTTGGAAAGAGCTGTCCGCCTCTGCTGTATTTATCCTGTAGTAAATGCAGGTAAAGGTTTGAATGCGCTGTTGTCGGTGGTGACCAAATGTAGTGCAACGTAAAATAAATAAAACTAAACATAGAAAATTATATTAAATTGTGTTTAAGCATAATTTCAATAAAAATGTTATAAAATCTTGAATCCATAACTAATTAATTTAACTACTTTTCATGATATTTTGGGAACATTTCAGAATTAAATCTATTACAAATTTTCAATGTTGACAATTAGTGGCAACACGGTCAAATAGCGAGCTGCGACGTCATAGAAATAAATTCTGGGTTTTTATTTGGAGGTATTTCTTTTTTTTCTGTTTTCTCAAGAAGGACTATGAATTTTTCAAAAGTAAAAATACAGAAAATTCTGTTTTTAGTTGTTTTATCCAAATATGCCAATTTCAAAAATTAGTGAAAGAGCCCATTCTGGATGTAGGTGCTGCTGTAAGAGAATGCTGTGTACTGTTTGAAAAGAATGCTGTAGGCTGGATGTAGGCACTGTTTTAATAGAATGCTGGAGTGTCCCAAAAAAAATTATTTTGGTCCAGTTTTCAATTGAATGGCTGTTTAAGCCACTTTAAATCCATAGCTAAAGTTCGCCTCACGAGTCTAGCACTATGGAAAGAATGCAGATGAAAAAATTGCAATATTGTTTATGTTATTTATGTTACACACCTACATTTATAAGGAAAAAGTAATATTTAAAAATGTTGCGCGCACGCCTATGATATGCAGCATAAAGCTCGAAATTAATGGCGTTTATTTCCCCTTGCTCTTCAGACGTTGTAGTGCTAGACTCGTGAGGCGAACTTTACAAATGTTACCTACTCTCACTGGAAATTATCCAAAGATGTTTTTGTGTAATGCTCCAATGTCTGAAAAGTGTATCAAAATAAGCCCTAATTATCGCAAACTTCAAGCCACTATACCACTAAGAACAACCCAACTAACCTTACACAACTAACCCAAATTAACACTAACTTTAACTTTGGGTAATTGCTAATGGTAGTCCACTAACATTTTTAGCTTATTGCTAGAGAGATATGTAGCTATCCAGTTGTATGTATATGTTTGAAAAAGGCAATTTGAAAGTATTCAATTTTTTTTGAGACACTCATTGATGTGTTGGGTGCACTTTTGGAAAGCCAGTCATTAAAGTATTTAAGAGAATTCGGTCAATAGTTGATTAGTAGGCTGATAATGGTCCAGGAGCCAAGTTAATTCTCTGGAAAAACCTGAACACTTTGGAACACGAACTGAAACTTTGTGTTGACATGTTCTTTATGTTTATATGAGCAATTTTTTACATTCATTAACAAAAACATAACTTATGCCTGGATTATGCCTCAGGTTTTCAAAGTACAAGTAAATTAAGTACAGGGTGGTCCACCATAAGTAAATTGAACTTCTGTTGATGTTGAGGTTTTAGATATAGCTTTGAAGTACATATTTGATGTTTTTTTAATGCTCTTTCCATGTTATCAGCACATTTTATTTGATTCGAGTCATCAAACTATAAATCTTCCTGCCGCTGTGTTATTTTTTTTAGGTGAGCCCCCCTGTAAGCAAACAAAATCCCGAAGTCATCTGAGCTTAATCAATATCACTCCTGGTAAAAATTGCTAGACGGATTTTTGAGAGGTAGGTATGTACATATTTATTTTGAAATTTTAGTATGATAAACTCCTAACTTCTCTCTTTGTCTCGTGAAAGTTTCATAATTTTCGTTTCAGTAGTTTTCCAGGAAAAAATCAAATTGCAAGAGGGTGCATTTTTGCTTAATTTGGATTTTGCAAGTTAATTTCCATTAATTTCCCATTTTGCTATTTTTCACCTGAAAAACTTGAAATTTTAGTATAATGAGCTCCCAACTTTCCTGTTTTTCTCCTGAAAGTTTCATAATTTTTCCTTCAGTGGTTTTCCAGAAAAAAATTTAAATGCAAGAGGGTGCATTTTTGTTTAATTTGGATTTTACAAGTTGGTTTTCATTAGTTTCCCAATTTGTTATTTTTCAATGGATAAGTTTGAAAGTTTAATATGATGAACTCCTAACTTTCTCCTTTTACTTCTGGAAGTTTCATTAATTTCCTTTCAATAGATTTCCAGAAAAAAAATTAAATGTATGAGGGTGCATTTTTGCCTAATTTGGATTTTGCAAGTTGATTTCCATTAATTTCCCATTTTGTTATTTTTCAATGGATAAGTTCGAAATTTTAATATAATGAGCTCCTAACTTTCCTGTTTTTCTCCTGAAAGTTTCATAATTTTCCCTTCAGTGCTTTTCCAGGAAAAAACTAAAATGCAAGAGGGTGCATTTTTGCTTAGTTTTGATTTTACAAGTTAATTTCCATTAATTTCCCATTTTGTTATTTTTCAATGGATAAGTTCGAAATTTTAATATAATCAGCTCCTAACTTTCCTGTTTTTCTCCTGAAAGTTTAATAATTTTGCCTTCAGTGCTTTTCCAGGAAAAAATTAAAATGCAAGAGGGTTCCTTTTTGGCTCAATTTTGATTTTGCAAGTTGATTTCCATTAATTTCCCATTTTTTATTTTTCACTGGAAACGTTTGTATAACGCTGCTCCTAACTTTCCTCTTTTTCCCCTGAAAGTTTCATTATTCTCCCTTCAGTAGTTTTTAAGAAAAAAATTGAAATAATGCAAAAGGGTGTATTTTTACTTAATTTGAATTTTGCAAGTTGATTTTCATCAATTTCTTTTATTTTTCACTGAAAAGTTTGTAACTTTAGTATGATGAGCTCTTAACCTTTCTCTTTTTCTCTTGGAAGTTTCATAATTTTCCCTTCAGTGGTTTTCCAGAAAAAAAAATTAAAATGTAAGGGGGGGCATTTTTGCCTAATTTGGTTGATTTTCATCAATCTACCATGATGTTATTTTTCACTGGAAAAGGTTGACATTTTAAAATGATGAGCTCCTAACCTTCCTCTTTTTCTGCTGAAAGTTTCATAATTCTCCCTCTACTAGTTTTCAAGAAAAAAAATTAAATGTAAGGGGGTGCATTTTCGCTTAATTTGGATTTTGCAAGTTGATTTCCATTAATTTCCCATTTTGTTATTTTTCACTGGATATGAGTTTCAAATTTTAGTATGATGAGCTCCTAACTTTCCTCCTTTCCTCCTGAGAGTTTCACAATTTTCCCTTCAGTAGTTTTCCAGAAAAAAATTAAATGTGGAAGAGTTCAAAATTGTGTCATTTTTATTTCCTATGTGAGCTTCCCCCAAGAAAGTCCAGAATCTGAGCCTAATCAAGTAAAATAGATTCTTAATTATTTCTGGTCAAAATCTCAATTGAGGTGTGTAAAGTCCCAAAACAAAAAAACGCACGGTAATAGTACATTTTCTACATATATTAATTGAGCATTCGGTTGTAAGCTTTTCATTCACTCAAAATCAAAAATTTGAAGTTGCATTTTACCAATATCCACCAACATTAATTTGTGGTTTGAGCGTTTCTTTTTGGTACCAGCTGCGCCGCGGAGAAGCCTAATGCCATAGTTGTCCTGGATCTCATTTCCTGCACTAATATACTATCACGGTAAGTGTAGCAGCGGCAAAACTGATACTGGCGAGAAGGGGTTAAATTATGGATGCTGTTAGGTGTCGGTACAATGTAATTTCAATAGTAGATCAAGCCCAAAGGGACACAGAACAGCTGAATGCTCTATTCGATAATTTTGATTTGTGTGTTCCGGATGAAGACAATATCAACATCATCAGGCAGCTTCCTGGGCATACATTGTTTGCAGAATATTAACAGCTTAATACATTTTTGATTTTTGTGTTTCAGATGAAGCTTCAACATAGCTTCGTGGATATCATAAGCCCCTTTCAGAGGTCTGTCCAGAACATTGTAAACCCTAAAACAATATTTCCCTTCCCTGTTCCTAAACCACGTGGTTTTGATTTTCATGCTTTTCAGGATTATGTTTATGAGGATTTTATGCGTTTCAGGGTAAGATGCCCTAGACACCGTTGGATATTCTAGGGTAGGATGCCCTGGACATCGTTGAATATTTAATTTTTTTCAGGGTAGGATATCATTGGATGCTGAAATAGGTAATTTCTACATTGAATGTTCACTAACATTAAAATCCCTTATCCAAATTGAACCAGAAAGCAAGTTGATTTTAGCTCTAGATATGGCACAAATGGACGAACAGAGGCTTTATGGATCCCTTTGGGTGATTAATAATAATAATAAATGTGTCTTTTTCAGGCATAATAATAATACATTTTTCCAACATTCCAGGTTTCTCTTTTCTATGTCCGTTTTTTCCAGTTTTGTCATCATTAATTTGGACATTGGACAGCATCTCTTGCCATAAATGACTGGAAATGTTGGACATGACTGCACGGATCCAGTTGCATTACTTGTCTCTTCCAGGTGAAATTTCATATGTGCATCAATTCCTGAAAAATAGTTCATGGATTCAACTGAATCTTCAAGGCAGGGAAGCCCCGAGGGTGCCTAATGCCATAGTTGTCCTGGACCCCTTTTGTCGCACTAATATACTATTTATGGTAAGTGTTTACAGTGGTGCATTCCTAGCTGGCAAGTGAAGGTTGGATTAATGAATAGTTGATGGTTTTGGCTGTACAAGTGTAATTTCGAGTGGACTAGGCCTATCGGGGATACCACTCAAAAAAGAAAACGCACTGACAGCTTGTACCTCTAGGGTGGTGTGGAAATTGGGCTTATTCAAGTTACAATTGGCAAACTTAATAAGCTTAGTTATTGAAAATAAAAGTTTTCTACAACAAAAAACTTAAATTATAAACTTTAATCCTAAATCTGTAGATATGTGAGAAAAGAAGCTAGAAAAGACACCAGAATTATGTAAAGTCATGCATGGAAAAAACTTCAAAAAAACCTGGACCCCATATGGTAAGATTTTACTGTTTGTTTAGTTTTTTTCATTTTGGAAACTGGAATCTCAAAAGACTTTACCGACTTGTTGAAAGTGAGTTCTCCAATTCCAATGTCCAGGGACAAAAATCAAATTGGGAAAAAATTCGTTTCCAATGTTTTTAGTTTGGGTTAGTTCTTCCAGAGGAAAAAATGCTTGATTTTGCCTCTAGAATATCTAACCAGAACAACTCCCAGATTCAAAATTCAAATTGGGGAAAATTGTTTTTAATATATTGTTCCATTTTGGTTGTGGAAGTTGTATTTTTGAGTAATTTAAGGGCAAAAAGGGCCTTTTACATGAATTTTCATACTTCAAAGTTGGGAAATTTAGAATTTTCCGCCCATATTATTTAAATTTTTGTCTATTAGAGCTCCTATTACAGCGAGTATTACAGGCTCTTCAATTGTCTGTTATTCATGAATTTTGAGCTTAATTAAATTTAAATTGCCAGCTTCCCAGCTGCAAAACTATTGCTGATGAATTGATTGGCTTTAATTGAAGCCTAATTACGTTAAGATCGAATATAAATTACCAAAGTTGTGATGCAAAATGTATGTTACTGTCATTTTCCTAATAAAAATCATAGTGAAAACACCGAGGGGTGTCTCACACTGTTAAATTTTATACACCTAGGTATATCCTTTTTGGAAATGTTTTTCTGCCCATAATTTCCGAAATTTCCTGTATATTTAGAATTTTTATAAGTATTTCCTATAATTTCTAAAATTTCTTAAATAATTTATAAAACTTCCTGAATAATTTCCTGAATTCCCCAAATAATTACTAGTTTCCTATGAAATTTCTGACCACCTCCCCAGAATTTGTGCAAACAATTCCTCCAAGGGGAATTTTCTACGCAAAATTTCCCAAAATTCCTCCAAATTCCTCTAAGTTCTCTGCAAATTCCCACAAATTCCTGCAAACTCCCCTCTCAAATTCCCCACAAATGCCTCTTACAAATTCCCTGAAAATCCTCATAATTGCTCGTGATAAGTTTATTTTTTTAAATTTTTATTTTGCTTAGGCTTGGTTTATTCATTTTCAGATAAACTTGCTGGTAACTATCTATAAGATAAATGTATCCATTTCATAATCCTATTGGTCAAGGAATAACTGGCCAACTAATAGGATTACAAATTGCATTTTATCCGTCAGATTGGATTACCTGACGGTTTATCAGAAGCTGAATAAACCGGCCCTTAGTGTTAAAACACAAGAACAGTTTATCAAGTGAGGACAAATGCAAGGTTAGGTTAGTTGACTTTAGAGCTAAACCTAATGATTGGTTTCCGGTAAACTAGAATACAGGGGTTTAAACCGAGATTTATCTGATAAAAAAAACCTTTTAAGGAGATTAAAAGAAATATAATGGGCTGTGATAATACTTTATAAATACCAAGTATAATATACATATAGTTACTTTTCAAACAACTTAGCTTAGGTAGGTAAAGTTTGTTTCGCCAGGGTTTGTACTTGCCACCAGCATTTGCCTTCCTTGTTTAACAAATAAAAATTCACGGAAACAAATCAATGACGTCAAAAACGTTCGTCGGTTCCTAAACCAGAAGTCATTTATTTTAATTTGTCAAAAAATTGAATGTGTCATATGAATTAATCTACGACAACCCTTTTTTTTCAAGTTTCAAGGTCGAGTATAAACCCTGGTGAAACGGACCATATGTATATTGTTTCACAATATTGAGGGTATATTATTTCTTTTTATTATAAATGGACCTTTTCCTAAAAGTTGAACAGGTTTACAGGACCATAAGCAATAAATTGAATATGAGCCTCAGCCCTCAGCATGGGGTAAGTAGGCCATACGAATGTGTCTAATTCCCTTTTCAATAATTGTAAACCATTTTTTCAACGTTCAGCCTTTTTTTCATATATAATGCTCTAGGATACATATTCGGATTCAAATACATTTAAACTCATATCAACCAAAAAAGACTAACCTAACCTCAAATTATCACATTGTGTTTATTTTGGCTCCGATTATTTTTCATAATTTTAATAGTAATAAGTTATGGTTTTTTCGAGGAGAGTGAAGTTCTTGGTGGAGTAGTGTGTGCCGAATATACTGCTTCAATTGGTTTTTGCGACAATTGCTGTCTGGAGTTGTATTTTGTTGGTTCAAGTTTTTGAGGTTATTTTTGCATAATGAAACCCTGCCATAAATGTTCCAAGCCAATCAGCGCTGAACAAGCAGAAAAGGCTCCCCGATGCGATAGCTGCCGTGTGATTTTCCATCTTGAGGAAAAATGTTCAGGACTCTGTGCGAGTGAACAGAGGGCCATAGTTGTTCAAAAACGAATTATGTTGTTTTTTTGTGATGATTGTGTGCTGTCTTTTAAAAAAATACCTCTACTTACAAACAAGTTCATTCAGCTTGAGGAGCAAATCAAATCACTGAAGGAAGAAATTGAAGTTATTAAGCAGAATAACTTACAACCGGATACTAGCGACCCAGCTAGGTTTGACTCAGTGATTCTTGAAATCCAGGAACGGGCTGAGAGGGCAAATAATCTGATGGTTTATGGTGTTCCTGAATCGAGGAGTGGCGATTTGCAGCAAAGAGTGGTTGATGATAAGACGGCGCTTTCACCAGTTCTTGACGATATTGGGCTTGACCAGAACGATGTCGTCAGGGTTTTGAGAGTGGGACAGCTATCAGAGGGTAAGACTAGGCCATTGAAATTAGTAACAAAGGATTCAGGCTTAGTCAGAAGTGCAATAGCAAAACGAAACAGAATTAAAGCTGACAGCATTAAGATGAGCTATGACAAAACTAAGCTTCAAAGGGATCAATTTAGGGCCACTTTGGCTGAACTACGCTCGCGTGAAGAAAAGGGAGAGCCTGACTTGTTTATTAAATTTGTTAATGGAAAACCCACTGTAAGCAAGAAACCTCCTTCAAAAAATTAAGGATGGTAGGCTCAATATCAATTTATTATCAGAATCTGGGTGGAGTACGTACTAGGCTCGACCAGTTGCGCTGTGCAATTTCTCAATGTGATTATGATGCTGTTATTCTGGTTGAATCTTGGCTAAATGATGGCTACTCTGATAATGAACTGTCAAACTCAAATTATCAAATCTTCAGGCAGGATCGTAACTCAAGAACTAGTACTAAACAACGTGGAGGTGGAGTTTTAATGTTAATAAAAAATAAATTTAAGGCTAAATTGATTAAAACGCATATTTTGAATGTAGAGCATCTTTTTGTCCAGGTTGATTTTGGATCAGGATCTTCTATTCTGGGTGGTGTGTATATTCCGCCGAATTCTACAGAGGATATCTATCTTGCCCACTGCTCCGCTGTCGAAGAGTTGAGGACTGATGAGCCAGCAGTGCCGCTGTTTTTGTTTGGCGATTACAACCTTCCACTTGCTACTTGGTGCTATTCAGCAGACGAAGGCCTTTCGACTCACTGCCCACAGAATTATCCAGCAAGACATGTATGCGAGTCTTTCTCATACCTTAATATGATGCAATCTAATGTAGTACCTAATCAACATGGAGTATTTCTGGACCTCGTTTTCAACAGTATTAGTGACTACCAAAAACTATCGATCCAGCAGGCAGTTGACACTCTACTACCAAACAATTATCATCATGTGTCGATTATTTGTGATATTATTCAGGACAATAGGATTCATCAACTGGACTATAAAACCACATATCTAGATTTTAGAAATGCAAATTTTGTTGATTTGAATTATTACCTGTGCTCAGTTGACTGGGACACTGTTTTTAACAAATCAGATATTGATATCTCCACTAATAATTTCTATGAACTGATTTCAAATGTAATTTCACATTATGTACCTAGGAAAACCTATAGGCCATCAAAGTTTCCTCGATGGTTCACACCGGAACTAAAAGGTCTCGTTTTATCAAAAAAGGCTGCTCATTCAAACTTCAAATCTAGCCGGTCAGCTGCTGATTACACTTTGTTTTCTAGTCTTCGGACTCAGTGTAGGGCATTGACGGAGCAATGTTATCATTCTTATATTTCTACTATTGATGAATCAATTCATTCTGATTCTAAACTATTTTGGAATCATCTTAATTCCTTGAATAAAAGCCATGGAATTCCTGATGTAATGCAGTTCAATGGCGTGACAGCTGAATCAAGCGTGGACATAGCTAACTTGTTTGCTAGTCATTTCTCCAGTGTGTACAGCACTGGAAAGATAGACGTTGAGCCTGGCTTTGCAGCGAAAAACACGGTTGACGTCCCGTTCATTCAGTTTGATCTTTCTGAGGTTTTTGAATCTATCATTGGTCTTAAAGATAAGCTTAGCTGTGGCCCTGATTATATTCCTACATATTTTTTGAAAAGATGTGTATTTAGTTTGTCTAAACCTCTACAAATCTTATTCAATCTGTCTCTGAAATTACAGACCTTCCCTGGTAAATGGCGTGACAGCTTTATAACTCCCGTATACAAAAACGGCGAGAGAGATAATATAAAGAATTATAGGCCAGTAGTTATGCTATCCGCTATCCCTAAGCTTTTCGAGTCAATCTTGAACAAACACCTGGCATGGCACTGCAGGGATCTTTTAATAGACCAACAGCACGGGTTTAGACAGGGCAAGTCTACCTCTACTAATCTTGTTCTGTATCACAACTACATTGTCGGGGCTTTCGAGGGTGGTTACCAGGTCGATTCCATCTATACCGACTTCTCGAAGGCCTTTGACACGGTCAACCACGCATTGCTCATTCGTAAGCTAAGTTTGTACGGGTTTCCTGAGTGGTTGCTTTCCTGGTTGAGTAGTTACCTGAGGGATAGGGTTCAATTTGTGAATATCAAGGGTTCGACTTCGTCCGCCATATCGGTTACATCTGGGGTCCCGCAAGGTTCGCATGTGGGCCCTCTTCTTTTTAATTTGTTCATTAATGACATTGGAGAGGAAATAAAGTTCTGCAAATTTTTACTTTTTGCAGACGATCTCAAATTGTTCCTTAAAATCTCAAATTTGTCCGACTGTCTGATGATCCAGGAAGACTTGAACTCGCTTTTTAACTGGTCTCTCTCCAATGCCTTACTTCTTAATAAGGATAAATGTTTTGCTATGTCATTTTCTAAAGCTAAACAGCTAATGGTGTTCGATTATCATATTGGTTCACATTTTCTCTCAAAAGTCACTGAATTTAAGGATTTGGGAGTGTTGTTTGACAGCTCCCTGTCATTTATTCCCCATATCAATGGATTGTCAGGTAAAGCTCTTCGTAGTCTTGGTTTTATCACTAGGAACTCACGGGATTTTTCGGTGTCTGCTTTTAGAGTCCTGTACCTAACACTTGTCCGTAGTATTTTGTCTTATTCTTCGATAGTATGGTCTCCCCATTATTCAAGTCACATTTTCACCCTTGAAAGGGTGCAGAACAGGTTCCTTAAAACTTGTGCTTGGAGACTTAACTTGCAAAATATATCGCTGGTGGATCTGAGATCGAGGTTGAACCTCATTTCTCTGGAAGATTACAGAGTTATCTGTGACTTGAACTTTTTATATAAGCTGCTCAATTTCGATATTCATTGTCCCGATTTGCTGGGTCTAATGAACTTTAGATGCAGTGAGCGTACTCTCAGAAACTCGCCTTTGTTTTCGGTTGTGTACCATCGCACAAACTATGGTAAATTTTCTCCTATTAATAGAATTCAGATTTTGGGAAATGAATTCAACCAGTATTATGATCTGATTGATATTAAATATACAGGGTTTAAGCAGTGTCTGAGCAGGTATATTGGAAATATAAATTGAATCTGGGTATTAGCGAAAATGTTAGTTTTAATGGAATATTTTTATTTTTGTTTTATTTAAGTTGCCAGATTATCTCTAAATAATTTTATATTATAATTGTTAATTTGATTGGTTAGAATGGAATATTTTGTAATTACTTAATGTAATTATACTTTTGTAAAATGGGGACATCCCGTGAATAAATAAAAAAAAAATAAATAAACTTCAAGCAGCTTGAAGTTCCTTTGCACTCAGGGTCATTTTTAAGGAGATTTTGTACTTAAGGGTATTGGATGCGCCTCAATGCCAAAATATTTTTTCCTGCACGAAGCACCTAACGCAGTCTATCATTGTATTCTTCCGCTCCGATTAATACTCCTTAGTGGGAATGAGATGAATGAAACAAGGAATGCATTGCATTCTTAAATTCAACCTAATTTTTTAACAATTGAAGTTATCTCAACTTTCTTTTTTGCTCGTGCTGTCCTCGGTGTTTTCCACTGTTTTCCAATCACCATATTAAAATGATCTACTGAAATTATGTAATCTTCATTCTCTAATGACCAATAATTTTTTTCGCAGTAGGCGATTTTCTAATTTGGCCCCAATGTGAAAAGTATCTTGAATGTAGCATTCAAATCCATTCAAGTCTAAGTGGATCCAATGTTTTTCCTTGACATCAGTTGTTAAAATTTTCAAACATTTACATAATTATCAAACTGATTATTCTTTTAAATTTGGACTTGTAAATCATATGAAGTGAAATTTTGGGAAAATTTCTTTGATAAAAATGTGGACATTCATTTTTCCAATACAGAACTAGATTTTTTTAAAAATTTCCAATTATTAGTGCTTCCTTCTTATAAGTAATAAGAATGTGAATCTCAATGGCGTCATGACCCTACAATTTCCTCATAAATTCCCGAGGGGGCGACCACTTCCTGCAATTCGTGTACATTTGGCCTGAAATCACTTGCAATCATCTCCGAAATCATTCTGAAATCCCGCAGTCAGTGCGCAATATCCGAAATCCTTCTTGCATTCCCGAAATCGTTTTCCGCAATCGCCGAAATCCTATGCAATCACCTTCGCAATCTCTGAAATCGCTCAAAATCAACTCTAGTGGGGATAAAAAATCAGCTGTTGATCGGGATTTTGCGGTACATTGATAATTGACATCAAGTTTTTTTTCTCTCATTTTTGAATTCAGCAGAATTTTTTTGTGAAGAATCAAATGTTGGATCTCGTGTGCAACAAGTGGAAATGATATCCAATGAAAAATATAATGCAGCTCTTTATGAGACCTTGTCTATTGGGCGTATTTCAGAATCATTGGAAAATGACACTTGAATCAAGTTTTTAAAGTAGCAGTTGGATATGTACAAGGTGGCAAGTTATAAAGTACCACCACCTGTAACTTTTTTATGTACGATCAAAAATAAAAAAGTTACAGGTGGTGATACTTTTTAACTTGACATCCTGTACAGGGCCGCCCATTTCCGATGTTTTAATGGCCTATATTGAAAACCAGCAGAGATTTTTTTCTGAGGAAATAAAACAATGGGGATGACAACTCACAGCCAAATTGTTTTTCAAGTAGAATTCAGTGGCATGACTATTTTTTTTTTTTTTTTTTCGTGATTCCACAGGTTTTGGAATAGTAACCCTGATATAAAGTTGTATTTTTTTAAATGGTACACCCCGTATATTATTTTTTCATTGCATAGCTCTTTTCGAGCTATTTCAATGATATAAGGTTTTATAGCTTTACATTAGTTATTCCATGACTTACCTCTTTTTACCTCATTGTTTCTTATGGAGAAACGGAATTTATTTTTTTCCTCAAAAACTATTGAAGGTAAAGCTATAAAACTTTATATCATTGAAATCAGCTAAAAAGAGCTATGCAATGGAAAAATAATATATGGGGTATCCCATTTAAAAAAAATACAACTTTACATCAGGGTTACTATTCCAAAATCGGTGGCATCTCGAAAAAAAAAAATTCTACTTGAAAAACAATTTGGCCGTGAGTTGTCTTCCCCATTGTTATTTTCTCAGAAAAAAAAACACAACTTTGGTTAATATTCTAAAATCGAAGGCATCTGGAAAAAAAAATTGTCATGCCACAGGATGCTACTTGTAAAACTGCTTGTAGAAAGTATTTTTGGTTTTTGGATATCTTGATTAATAGAAAACTTTGAAACTCTTTTAAAATTGGACAAAATTTTGAAAGTGTCCTGTATTTCCTAAACACATATCAAGTTAGCTTTGATTTGTCCTCGCTTCGCAATTGTTATTTTCTTAGAAAAGAGCTCCAGAATGTGCTCCCACATTTTTGATATCTCTGCACTGCTGGTTTTCTATATAGCCTATTAAAACATCGAAAATGGGTCACCCTGTAGATACCTATCTATAAACTTATGAATGAAAAACTGAAATTAAAGTTATAAAAATTCAAAAGATAGTGAGAAAAAATCGAATGAAATATGTTCCGCAATCATATTTGCAATCCCCGAAATCACTTTGCAATCCCAAAAATCACCTCGCAATCTCAAAAATTAGTTCGCAATCCCCCTGCAGTCACTTAAATCGCCTCGCAATCCTCCGACATTGCAAATTTTTTAGAAAAATTGTCTGAAATCGCTGCAATCATTTGGAAATCATAGGATTTCCGCAATAGGGAACTTGCAAGTGAAGTAAAATTTTCCAAATTTGTTTTAAATCGATAGTTTATGCTGCACAATATTCATATGACCAGTTTTTATTTAACTGATACCGCCCTTGTTACACAAAAAATAATATTAAATTTGAAATAAAAATTTTCCCGCCAAAAAAATGCTCCTATGATGAATACCTGTTTTGACGTCACGATTCTGTAAACAAACCCGTCAATAGGGAAATCTGTGATAGGGAATTTGCACTTAAAAAAAATACAAAAGCAGTCCTTCACAATATTCTTCATCCATTACGACAATTTTCACAAAAAGCAAACTTTAACACACTTGAATAACACAAAAATAGCACTGCGTAAGCAAGAGTTCGTTTGCTGCGTATTTTACGTTTACAAAATCTCAACGTCACAAGCGCTGTCAAATTGAAATTTCGTGTTTTCGCGCCAAAGTATTTCATTTGAATTTCAATAAAAAATTTTTCGTACAACGTATAAATTAAAATGGAAAAAAAGAAAATTATGTGATAACTGATGATTAGAAGTATCTAAAAAAAAATAATTTGAGAAATATGAAAATTCCCTATACATGTACATATTTTTCGGGAGTGGTCGCCCCCTCGTAAATTCCTCACAAATTCCTCCAAATTTACTGAAAATTTCTCTAAATCTCCCATAAATTTCTTCAAATTCCCTATACCTAGATTCCCAACATATTTGGCAAAGAATTCCTAGGTGGTTTGCCCTTTGGAAAATACAGTCTCACACAATTCAAAGTTTTCCTAGAAAACTAATTGAGGGAAAAATTAAAATATTTTGCATGTGAAGGGAAGGTTAGGAGGTCATTTTCCCAAAATTTCAATTTTTTCCAGGGGAAAATAAGAACAGGAAAAAACTTGGAAATCAAATAAAAAGTGAATTAATTGAAAATACAATTTCACACATTTTAAAGTTTTCCTGGAAAACTAATTAAGGAAAAATGTTGAAACTTTTTGAATGTAAAGAGGAAGGTTAGGAGCTCATTTTCAAATAATTTCAATTTTTTCCAGTGGAAAATAACAACATGAAGAATTTTGGAAATCAGCCTACAAAAACTGAATTATTTGATAATACAGTTTCACACATTTCAAAGTTTTCCTGGAAAACTAGTGAAGGTAAAAATTTGAAGCTTTTTGCATGTCAAGAAGAAAACTAGGAGATCATTTTCCCAAAATTTCAAATATTTTCCGGTGGAAAATAACAACATGAAGAATCTTGGAAATCAGCTTACAAAAACTAAATTAATTAAAAATATCATAGAAAAATATAGTCACACACTCGGTCACACATTTCAAAAGTTTTCCCGGAAGACTGATAAAGAGAAAAATTTGAAACTTTTTGCATGTGAAAAGGAAAGTTAGGAGCTCATTTTCACAAAATTTCAAATTTTTCCAGTAGAAAATATCGGGTCTTCAAAAAAAAAACCAATCGAAGATTGCTTTGATTATGAAAACGTATGTCGCATTATTGTTTCTTTATTGTTCAGGTTTTTTGACATGACATTTTGACATTAAAGTTCATTGACAAAATTGAAGGAAAATTATGCTAAGACATACGTTTGAAAAACCATAGCAATCTTTGATTGGTTTTTTTTTTTGAAGACCCGATAACAACATGAAGCTTGACTTCTATAGTTTATGAGATGTGGTTATACATAAACATTGTTTCACGAGGATTCATACTTTTTGCCTTCCTTTTTTAATAAATAGAAATTGACTGAAACAAATCAATGATGTCAAAAACGTTCGTCATTTCTTGAACCAGTCATTCATTTTAATTTGTCAAAAAAAATTATTGTGTCTTATGAATTAATGGGGCATTTTCCAAAATTCACCGGTTTCTGAACCGGTGCGATACCGGTTTAATAGTTTACTCACCAAACCGTTCCAAAATTGACCGGAATGATCAGCGGTTTGAAACCAGTGAGGCACCGAATCCACCGGGAATTTTTGTCGGTTTTTTCGGTTGAAGATTTTTTGACACTTTTTTTTTGACGTACATTAATTTAATTGCTTTGAATGGGCACTATTGGCAGTCTATCGTTAAATTGCTGCTTGTAGATTGCAGAATAAAAAAATGTTTGTGCGTGGGCTCAAACTATTTTTTCTTCATTCATTATGAACTCGACAAACCAAACACTCAGCTCACATAATCTACAAAAATCGTACTGAAAACTACCGTTTGTTGACTGTTAAATATAATAAAGATGCATACCAACCTCACTGCGTCCCACAAAAAACCCATTCCAAACAACAATAAGCAACACCACCAAACTTTCACGCCAAAGCGTTCCAAAATGCATCAGAAAAATCTTGTAACCGGACTTGCGTGTAACTTTTACCGGAATTTTTTGACAGCTACCGGTTTATTTAACCGGTCAATTTACTGGTGAATTTTGGAAAGTGCCCATATAGGACAACCCTTTTTTTCAACTTATGACTTGTTCAATGTTAAAAGTATAAAGTATAAACTCGCGTAAAACGATCTGTAAATTTATTTTGTTAGCAGTTAGGTATTTTTATTCACAAAACACTGAAGAGGAACCAAACAATATTCGAAACACAAAAATTCTCAAGATTTATGGTGAAAATTTCCTAATTTCCTATAATAATTTCAGTAAATTTTCTATAATTTCGAATAATTTCCTAACAGTTCCTGACATTTCCCAAAATTTTCAAATATTTCCTATAATTTCTGAGAATTAACATAATTTGTGACAATTTACAGGAAATATCTGTAATTTCTCAACATTTCCGGAAATTATTTTGAGATTTGTACACCTATTTCCGACCGTGGGACACCCCTCGGAAAAGACTGAAGCTTTACAGCTGCAAAACTATTGAAGCTGAATAAATAAATGATACCTAGATCCTCGCCTAGATCACAACAAACGAGAAAGGGATATTTATATAATAAAGGGATTAAAGGGAAGAAACAATCTATAACAATTTTTTCAACCACTAAAAATAATTTTAACCCCTGGATTTGTCTCAATTTTTTTTGGTGTATGGAAAAGAGCACAATTCGCATTAACACCAGCACAATTGAGTACAAAACGAGCACATTTGAATAAGCCAGCAAATTCTTTGGAAGCACTCTCACTCTCAGACATAAACTTGCGATAGTTTGAGTTGCTCGTGTAATCATACGTAAACTACGCTTAAGAATGTTTGATTTGCTTTACTAACCTAACAAGTCCGGCACTAACAACCCCTCCAACAAGTTCACTAAATCACTTTTATTCATTATTAATAAAATTCAGAGCTTGGTTCTCGACGGGGTTCTATTAATTTTTTTAAAAAATATCACAACAAAATTCAAAAACAAAACAACTCTCCCTACATAACCTTATATGTTTTGAGTTTTGAAACCCCGGAAAAGAAAAGAAGAGGAATCCACAGGTCTGTTCACTCAGTTCATTGGTGGCTTCTCAAAACCGGACCTCTCATACCGAGCAAGGTTCTTCAATCTTACTCCGTGCACGCTGCACTTACTCCTTGGCACTCCAATCGTTCGGGCAAGGGCAAGACTTTTTACTTTTTAGCGTAAATGGAGTAGTTACTCCATTTAGCTAGTTAGCTTCTATCACGATCGGCTATACAGAGTCGAGTAAATGAAGCAAGGAGTACCCAGAGTGAATGTAGATTAGATAGTGTGCATCCTATGATTTATAAGACCTACGGTCACGTTGCAAACGCAAACTATGTTCGCCGATCACATTCCGAACCGACCCCGGAACCAGTTTGGAAATAGTTCAGCTGGAACAGACCGAACTAGTTCAAACTCGACCCGGAACCGATTCTAGTTGTCCTAATTTCTTACCGCGAACGAAGCTAGAGTAATTGATATCCAAAAGCCATAAGAAAAAGAAGAGCTAATTGCCAATTACGTTACGTCGAAAAGAAAAGTCAAGTCAGAGGAAAAGTGTTTGACGTTTAGTAGTGGGGGATTCAGCATCATATTTTGGGGTACAGAGCTTTTTGAAAAAATAGCAAAATTTACAAAATTTCAAATAAATGGGTTTGTAAAATCAGTGTAGCCGAAATATAAGCATATTAAACAATGGATTGGGTCATATCCGATGAACTGTCTTTGACGGTGGGGCATGTCGTCGGCTGGGTAAGTGCAGGGGCCATGATAGTTGGAGGAGTCGTCCCGTATATACCCCAATATCGGCAAATCAAGAGGACGAAAGACGCCGAAGGATTTTCGTTGCTGGTCTGCTTGGCTCTACTTATAGCAAATACTTTAAGAATTTTATTTTGGTAAGTCAGGCACTATAGATTTTCTGTTTTTAATTAGTTACCTAATATACTTTTTCTTCAAGGTTTGGCAAGCATTTCGAATATCCACTATTGATGCAAAGCTTGATAATGAATGCCACAATGTTTGGAATGATTCATTTGTGTGTAAGAACTAGAAATAAGAATCAATTACTTCAGGCGAGGCAGCGGATATTCACAGGTATAATTTTTTGATTTAAGCAAATTATTTGCAATACGTTCAATATCTTATCAAATAATACAGTGGCATTTTGATAAAATAGGCTGACCTTTGATGATATTTTTGGTAAAGGTGAGGCGAAAAGGTCATTTGTCACTCTATTAAGCTTGCTTTCAGTTCAATATTGACTTTAAATCCAGATTTCTATATTTATTTTAATAATGATAGGCTAAAGGTTAGTTTTAATCTCGGTTTTAATTATCCATTGAATTTATCTTATTTTGAGTTTATTGACTTTTCAACAATCACTGAAGGCTGTGTTCATTTTTCAGTATATGACGAATCTTTAATAATGTGCAAGTAGTCACCTGGGTCTGTGCATATTCTGCTAAAAATACTTGTAGATAAATGATTCTATTGAGATCAGAAACACATTTTAATAGTGTTTTCTGTTGGTAAAACTCGTGCTGCCACTCATGCAAAAATTTATGTTCTGTTTTCGCAGCTAGTGTCCTTTAGGGCAAGGGTAGTGTCATCAGCAAAACAATAGACAATATCCTCCCCGGGGAGTCCCCGAACAATTCCCTAAATCCATTTATATAAATATGAAACAGAAGAGGTGAGAGTACTGTCCCCTGAGGCAGCACACCAGACTCCATTTGAAGTTTATCACTCTCCTGATCTCTAATGTTTGTTTCCTACCACTTACATGGGATTTGATCAGCTCATTTGTAATAGCTACCTCAAATACCATTTAAAGGATGTAGGAAAATCAGGGGTGAAACCTCGGGTACAGTGTAAAATGCCTTGTTTGAGTCTAAGATAATTGCTATTACTTTGTTACCCTGAACTAAGTTTTTTTAAATTACCTGTGAAGCCCTCACAATGCTTAAGTTCTCTGTGAAGGCAAATTTGTTTTTATGAATTAAATTGTATTTTACTTGATAGCTCGCTTGATAGTTTATTCCTCAGTTTATTCCTAAGACACTTTTCAACAATCTTGCCCTTGATCTTGCCAAAGGTGCTAGTCATTGTTTTTGGTGTATAATTCGATAGCGATAGTGACTTTTCATCCCCCTGTTTATGTAATGGAATAATTACAGTAGTTTTTAGAATGTGTATTATTAGGAAAAACCCCAGTATTGAAAATGAGATTAGTTATATGCATAAAAGAGAGCTACCTAAGGTACCTTTATATTTTTTTATTAGATTCAAATAAATATCATCCTCCCCATGCCTGACTTTATTAATCCAATATCACTTCCTCTATATCTTGATTTGAAACAGGGCTAAAAAAAATGGGTGTACACTGCCCTCTTCCACACAGTTTACCACCCGAGGTTTATGCCACCCGATTGTCTTGTTTTATTTTTCCTGTCAACCTTTTTGTTACAGAAATTAGTGTTAAATTGATTTGCTATTTCCTTCTTATCTGTAAGTGTAAGTATTAGTATACTTGTTATACACCTAATTACTTTCTGATTTATTGTCCTGGTCGTTGGTGGCCTTTTTTTTCCAGATTTTATTATTATTTTGATCCGAGTTTTGATCAGATGCGTTTTCTTCTACTAATGTTTTTTTTTTATGAAAGTATGTACCAGGTGTTTTTTTTATCTTTGATTTCATTTTGACCACCTGTAACTTTTTTGTTTTTGAAGTTTTCAAGGTAAACAAAAATACAAAATGTAGAGTTAGTAGCCAAGTTATTTTTCCAGTTACACATGAAACAAAACACTATCAATTTTTTGACATATTAGCCTACATTATATTTTTTCAAATGGAACACCCTGTATATTATATGTGTTCGATAGAATATTTTATTCTGATTTCAATGATATAACACACTTCATATTTTAGTCCACTCGTTTTTGACAAATCAACAAAAAAATATGAAATTTTTATATACACTCTCAATAGTCTCAATAATTCTAGTCCCAGTCTGGGATAACGTCAAAAACAATAAAGTTACATGTGATCAAAATGATATCAAAGATAAAACAACACCGTACCTATTTGACATTTTCATAAGCTTACTTAAAGTTTTCATACAGTTTTGTATGTATTTATAAGTATGATGTATGTAATTTAAGGATTTGATAATGACTTGTATTACGAGTGCATTTTTTTTTAAATAATAATAATAATAATAATAATACATATTTATTTCAAAATTGTTACAGACAGAATAATAATTGAAATTACGTCAATAAGCCTATAAAGGCAAAAAAGATATAACTAAGCATTTATCTGTATAATTGAATAATATGCTACTAACATTACAGCTATACAGAAAAACAAATCCCTATAAGTCACATATTCAAGAAATCGTCCAAGGTATGGCTCTAGGTTTATAACCTATTTTTTGACTTCTCTTTCAAATGCAAATATACCTTCAATCTGTCTTATTTATTGTGGCAATGCATCGAATGATATAACCTTGAATAGGTTATATTATTCAATGCACATATACTCTAGACTTCTTTGACTTAATTGGAGGCGATGTCTGGGGTAAGATTCTGCCATGGTGTTATTCCCTCGGTTATTCCTTTCAGTTCTTAGCTGTTCAAATAAATTTCTTCGTAAAAACATGAGACATTCAAATATGTACAGGGTGTCAATTTATAAAGTACTACCCTCTGTAACTTCTCTATTGTTGTTCACACATAAAAAAGTTGCAGGGGGTGGTAGGTACTCTATAACCTGACGCCCGTTATAAAGTAGGTAGCATATGCAGCGAGGGGATTTTCACCCAAGGAAATCGGTGTACAAATGCCTGGAAATACTTGGAAATAGCTAGAAATATTTGGAAAAACCTATAAATACTTTGGAAATACAAATACTGAGAAATATATAGAAATAATTGGTAATACCTTGGGAAATATCTAGAAATACTTTGAAATACTTGGTAATACGTGCCAAATGATGTGAGAAAACAGTATGTTTAGGAGCTTCCTGAGCGCTGCTTTTTCTCATAAATTACTTTTTTTGAATTTTTACAGTCAAAGTTAGTTTTATTTGATTGTGAGAACCTTGGTGAGAACTTATTGAAAGGTACTTAAGTGTGTACAGGGTGTCCAAATTCGAGCAGTATCATCGGGATTGGAAACGGTACTCTTACTGTTGCGATACTTTGCCATAATTTAACCGACCCTGTATCTCTTACCGTTTCCAATATCATAATGATACTGCTTGAATTTGGGACACCCTGTATATATTTTGAGTGCCATTTTTATCTTATTTATGTTTGGCAAAAACATTTCCTTGTTGTGTAGAAAATTGATTCCCAGTGTATTGAAAATAGTTTGAAATTTAAAAATTTTTTTGTCCTTGTCGAATTTCTAGTCCATTTATGTGGTCTCTCCAAAGTGACGTCAACAGGCGTGCATGCGCAAAGCAGTTGTAGACAAATCTATAGGAGAATTTTGCTAATCCTCCACGAGCTAATAAGAGATGACACTGTTGAAAAAATAGTAAAAATACCATGTGATCTTTTATTTGAAGTTATTAACACAAGAGAACAGGTTTCCCTTGTAAAAACTAGATTTATTTGTAATAACAGTAAACAGTTAAAAAAAATTGTTTTTCTACAAACGTTACTAAAAGTGTCATTTTTAACGGATGCTGTCAGTGTCTGAAATCCCATTTTATGACACTGGTGTTAAAAGTGATTACTTTTAGCACTCACTTTTAGTGCGTTTGTAGAAAAAATAGTGTATGATATTCGTGCTAAAAGTGGTTTTATTTTGTTCAAACTTACCTTTTCACAAAATAAAATTTCACCTTTAGCACTTATATCATAAATAACTATTTGTTTGTAAAAAGTGTCCCTAAAATTTGATACCCTATATGTGTTTATTGACCTCATGCAGAATTTTCCTTTTTGTCCACAAATACCAAAAATCTAATAAAAGATTTTTTAAGTAAATTTTAATACTTAAAAGCCGATTCAATAAAAATACCAAAAATGTTCTTTGCTACTCACCAGCTTTAGAGGAGGTTTTCTAAAAGCATGTGTAAAACGCAATGACATACTAAAAGGTTTGGACCGGCCGTCCCCTATAAACAAACACAGACGCGCTTGCGGCCAACATAAGAGAAAGAGATCCGAGAGAGAGATAAAGCTACTAAGGGCAAACGATGCATTATTGTAATGGGAGTATTACTTTTTATGCTTATGAAATTGAATCGAAAACAAAAGTAGACCTTAAAATTCACGAAGTGTCATTTTAATATAAAGAATCGAATAAATAAATTAATAGGCAGTTGTAGCCATTGGAATTGGCACAAACTTTTTGAACGCGCTTTGCAATTTTGGTAGGTGAAAAGCCCCTCGATATGCAGTTAGTATTCTCATTTTTCTGAAAGTATTTCTGCAAGACTGTGAAAAATAGAAGTCATGACTTTTATTAGAAAAAGTCAAAAAGTCAGATTTTTTTAAATTTAAATCATGTTTTTTTTTAAATTTTAATTGGTTTGAATTAATTGTGATATTTTGGGAAACCAATTACCTAAAAATCAAAAAGTCTACATCTATCATATTGTCCCCCAATCGATTTCACACATCGCTCTGTACTATACCAAAGGTTGAGAAAACGCGTTCCATGCTTGCTGATGATGCAGTTGCTGTCATGAGCTGCATAATTTCTTCTTTCACAAGCAGATTAACTGCTGCATTGACATTAAAACGTCAGTTTTCTGACTATTTTCAACCAATGAAATTCGCTCTTACTGATTTTTGATTTCTATGAGGCCAGACCTAGAATGGCACGTCCACCACTAAAAGTCATTAATTCCATCGGATGCAGCTTTCCTCATAAATGGCCCCAGAAACAGGTGACTTCAACTGATGAATCTCAGTACAAGCTGGAGAAAGCCCAGCTAAAAATATTCTTCTGCACGTTCCAATGCTCCTTATCTTTCTCCTGGTATCAAAACGATATTGTCATCAGTTTCATTTTCACCTTCTGATAGACTATTTTGGTTCATTGTTATACATGTACCTAGCGTGTGATTTAAATCAC